CATTGCTCAACATCATGAAAATTAAACCTTATTTTCAATAAGCAATCCTGAAAAATATTTGGGGGTGCTTAACTTTTTTCCAGGTGTATATTATCATACATACTTAACGAAACATGATAGTTTAAAATTTTACTGGATTAGCTTTCCTATAAATTTCGTTCATTCCAATGCAGCTTGTAAGAATTTGTGTAGTTTATAAGCCATAGTGAACAATCGGTCAAAAGTTAAGTTTAATTATCTTATGTTATAATTTCCATAGACTCACAAAATATAATTTATAAATATGAAACAATGTTATGGTAACAACTAAAATTAGTGTTACTATACATCAGACAATACGTCTTGAAAATTATGCTTATTTTTATATTTAGCTTTATAAGTAAGTTGAGTTTAAAGGATCTACATAAATAACAATTACTGTTTTCACCTTCTGTTTAGTAGAACTCGTTTCTTACTAGCTGAATATAGTGAATACATTTGCTCTTGACACGATTCGCGTGTTTGATATTCAAGAGCACTGACCAGCTCGATTTACTTTGGTTTTGGAAAATAAACGTCAAGTTTCGAAAAACTTTTGACTTTTTGTGTTAGCTAAAACAGATACTACTTTCGTTTTAAAGTAAAATATTCTATTTGACTCATAGTTTTACTAAAAGAAGTGGCTGGTCAATATGGCAGAAAGTTTTATGAAAACAAAAGTTTAACAAAACACTTATAATAAATTGTCGCTATTTATGTATTTACATTATACTTAATTTTGAAAATAAACGATTCGAACTCTACACAATCATATATTTTCTATATAAATTTAATGTTCACCATACTAGAGTTTTTATATGTCACGGAATTAAAGTCAGTAACTAATGAACATGTGAAATGTATGGAATTTACGATTTCGTTATATGATGCAAAGAATAATATTTGCATGAATCGAATGCTGACAGAGTTAACTGTTTTTGATTAATGTTGATAAGCTCAGTTACGAGTTTGGAAATATCCTAATTTTTAATATCTGTCTACAACAGTGTAAAGTTCAGTTAAATTTGGGTCACTTTTCAAATATAAATACCCTGTTCCTTTCACCACTAATAATCAGACTGATACAGCTCTACTACATGTAAGAAAGAATGAAGAACAAACCTTTAAATGTAAGTATGTCACAACATATATTTCTTTGCTTATAAATCTAATTTCTGTGTTTCTTTGACATAATAATGTTTAATTTCAATCGCATTCATTATATTAATGAATAATATTAATGTATTTTACTAATTCTATGCTATATTATATTTTAGTCTGTTGAAAAGAAAAGAAATGCTGCTGACATTAATGAAATTGCGAAAAAGATCAAATCCAGCAGTGAAGAAGAATACTAAAACAGAAAAAACGACAGTTACATTCCTCTACTATTATATAACGTGAAAAAGCACCTGTTTCATCTGATGCCTATCCAATTGGGGACGATTGTTACATCACTCTATCAACTTACGAGAATAATTTGAATATTCATAATCGACAGTTCAAAGGCTTTGGAAAAGGAAAATTATATCCAACCATTGAAGGTATCATTTTGTCTTCAACAGAATGTGAAGAATTTAAACAGTGGATCTCAAACATTAGTGTAGCTGTACAGATCAAAACTGAACAAGATTTACCTCTAGAAAGACGGACTCTCGTGCTATGTGTGTTAATAATATCCTCTCTATTTTGTTTATATATCGATTTGATTATCATACCTGATAAAGTTCTCCTTGTTTTATCAAATTCGGAATGGCAGAATTTATGTGCACAAATTTCTCATATTGATTCTTACTTGAATACTATACGTTAATAATGAAAAATGATTGAATAAATAGATTAAATCAAATCTTATAAATATATATGCTGAACAAATGTACCCTGTTTTACAAGTACTGAAGAAAGAACAATGTGAAGCATGTTGTAACGAATTTATTATAATATATTTATTTTAATATGTACGTTTGTTTAGATTATATTTATATTTAGAAACATACATAGCTTATAGTGTTAAATATGTATTGTGAAACTCCCGCCTATTATGCAAAGTTGTAGAAGATTCTCTAGAGCAAGAATCAACAATATATGTATGTATGTAAATACTAATGTTAGCACCAGTATTGTTACGTAAAGCTGAAAATTCGAGAAAGCCTCCACACACCAATAAATATAACCAATGCGACACGCTGAAATAGAGAGTATCTGGTAGTATTATTAGTTTGCTATAGTCAGTGTGCTATAAACTTTGGAAGCTATAACTGTGATTGTTATAATGCTT